GGTGTCCACTGCCACTCAACTTGGGCTCCACCCCAGGACTGGTTTGCCTCTGCATCCCATGGTCAAGTCTTTTTCCTGGTCATGGCTGCCCCAGAACCAGTGCTGTGCTGTGGCATGAAGTGAATGGGATGGGAGCATTTGTTTAGTTCCAGCTGGGTTGCCTGAGGAGCTAGTCACGGGAAACTGGCAGGACCTAGAGCAGATCTCTCTCCACCCTGCCTCAGGGGCAGCCAGCATGCATGCACTCCTCATGAGCAAATTCCAGTCTGCTCCAGCCCTTCTCTTTGTCCCAGCTCTCCTCCCACCAGGCAACGGGGCTTGTCTCCTCCACATAGAACCCCAGGACTGGGATACCCAGTCTGTGGCTCAATCTGTTCACTCCCCAGGGCTGGTGTCCATCTATGTGATTTCCCTTTTCCTCTGAGTCCCTTCCCAGGGGTATAGGTCTCCACTTGATCACTTTTCTTCCCCTCCTATCTAATTACGTGTAGATTGTTCTTACAGCCTTGGTTGTACAGGAGTCCTTCTGCCAGTTTCCAGTTTGTTTTAGTGATAATTGTTCCATATGTAGATGTATTTTTGATGTGTTCATGCTAAAGATGGGCTCCATGTCCTCTTATTCTACCATCTTGATCTCTTCTTGCTCACTTTCCTTCCTTGTAATACTTATTGTTTTTAGTTGTTCCTAGACCTATCCTCTCTACTAGATTTAAAGGTTTTGGAGGATGGAGGCTACATCTCAGTGATGTTTTATCATCTGTGCTTAGCACATAGTAGGTATTCTGTAAAAGTTTATGGAATGAGTATATGAATGTATATTCAGCCCTTACCGTACCTGTCTCCCATGAACATTTTCTTATATTTTTGAAGCTGTGACCCGACAGTAAATGTGTATGTATTAAATGTGTGAATATAACAAAAAAGAAACAGACTCACAGATATAGAGAACAAACTAGTGGTTACTAGTAGGGAGAGGGATGGGGGAGGGGCAAGGTAGGGGTAGAGGATTAATAGGTACCAACTACTATGTATAAAATAAATAAGCTACAAGAATATATGGTACAAAACAGGGAATATAGCCAACATTTTATAACTATGAATGGAATATAGCCTTTAAAAATTGTGAATCACTATGTTGTACACCTGAAACTTACATAAGATTGTACATCAACTGTAGGGCAACAAAAAAAAATGTAAAAATGTGTATATATTGCTGAGAAGGCTGTTTTGGAACCAGCAGTGTCCTGACATGCTTTTAGAATAAGGTGATCTACAGGAAGATATGCTGTGGTGTCTCCGGCTTTTACTGGCTCTGAGATTCTGTGACCCTTTGATTTCACCTGAGAGTGTGTTGTTTGTGGGTCTGAAACACCCCAGAATCTAGGAGCTTTGATGTACCATTCTTTGTTAAGCCATACCAGAAAATTTGTTGTTTAAAGTGATTTTTCACTTATTTGCAGTTTTACAAAATAACCCTTAAAATACAGTCAATTACTGGAAAGCAAATTATTAAAGTAAGTCATCAGCGAAAACGGCAGAGTGAGGACCTCTGAAAAGTCTACCCATAATAGAAATGAAAAGAACTGGCAAAAATGATCAGAATCAACTTTTTCAGAACTCTGGAAATTAACCAAAGGGTTACACCAATCTGGAGAGTATTTGTTCATGAAAAATGACCAAAATAGTGAGCTTTGTGGCGTTTTCACTTTCACCTTGCCTATCCTTTGCTCTCTAGCTTTGCAGTAGCCTTGAGAACCCAGAGCCTGCAATCACGGGGAGTTGGCAGCTTGGTAGCCCCTGGAGGACATAGAATGGGGTTGGAGCTCCTATAAAGCCTCATTTCTAGAGAATTGTCATTATTTAATCTGTCTGCCATCCCCAGAAGACCCCACATTCAGGACTTGTATTTATTTGCCCTGACTTGGAAGTGCAAAAAGCCTTTCCCCCAGGGCTTTGTTTGAAAACCATTAGAGGCAATAGATTAACTTTACAGCTGTTTGAGGAATAGATGACCAAAAAGTTTAAAAGGAAAAGCTGGGGAATAATAAGTCCATTGGGGCTTTGAAAAGGTCTGGCATGCTCCTGGGAATCTAGAAGACCACATGCATGCTCGGGGCTATGTGCATTCCCAAGGCTGTGTGCGAGGCTCAGAAAGACCAGAGAGGATTCTAAGCTCTCACTCTGGCTGACCTTGAGCTCTGTACCAGCAGAAAGAGAAGACTAAGGCAGAGTTAATCAACTGCCTGGCTGAGTGTTGAAGGCATGCCCCAACATGTACACAGAGCCCTTTGGCCAAGACTGAGAGACTTTTTGGTTCTAGATGCTTATGGAAATCTTTTTTTCAATTATTAGTCAACCACGAAGCTAACCCAGTACGGACTTTAGTGCAATGATCATTAAAGTAGAATGAAACAGAGTGAAGCCTGTTGTCCATCAGACCTTGAAGAAGCTAATTCTTGGTCCACCAAGTTGCAGAATTTGTAGCTCTACCTGTATAGTCCCTATGTCCTTAAACAGGCTGAGAGGGCAAGGAACTCATGTGGGGCTGATGTCTTGTTTGTTAATATTAAGGCAAGACCAAAGTAGTTTATGAAAAAGTTTTTTTAAAAGATTGCTGTTAATCATAAGTGATTCTTTTGAAAATGCCATTTTGCTTCCGCACCTCAACTACATCTCAGTTTGCTTCTTCATCTCTCTGAGTAATTCTTGTGGAAGACCCATTCCTCTTTCCTCCCCCAACTCCCTTGTATCTAGTCTCCCCAGGTTACTGCTCTTAGCTTCTGCTAATCTCATCTTCTGTTCTGGCTTTCATTTGTTTCATCCATGTAGCTTTCAACTTGGGCTGGCTATGGCCTAACACACTGCATTCTGAGAGTCTGTCTTCTAAGAGAGTATTAGGAAGAATAGAGACTGTAATGGCCTTTATGCTGGCCTGAGAGGGGCAGAAGTGCAAGAGGAAAATTCTTTGGCTACCATTTTGGTCAGAGCCATCTCGAATGAAGCAGTGTAGTTCTCACAGGCTTTAAGAGGCTGTACTAATTTGACCAGATAGCTGGGCAGTGACTCACTGAGACAGGGCTGCTGATAGAGATTTTTTTTTCTCAGCCAGTACTAAAAAAAGACCCAACACTTATATGCATACATGCTGTACATTCATCCGATGCCACCCTCCCTCATCCCTACCAGGGGAATGCCAGAGAGGTTGTCCCTTTCCCACATTCTACTCCAGCTACTTATATTCTGTTTTTTTTTCCTCTTTTCTAGGCTACACTGGATATTCGTTTTAACCTGATTTCTCTTGCCTGTGAGGGGTAGAGAGTAGGGTGAGAAGGTACACAGTGTGATTTACACCACCTCAGTCCACCACCTCCTGGGGGTGGCCTGACCTGGATGATCATTTTTAGCCTGGAATTTCCTGGGCATGGGCCCGGGGCCGAGGCCAGTGGCAGAAAGGCTAAGATGGCACAGGCTCTCTGGCAGATTGGGCAGTGATGAGTTTTCACTGGGGAATGAAATGGCTGTCTCATCTCTAACATCTTTAGGTTTGAAATACTGCCAAGGCTAATGACCCTAATGATTAAAACATCTTGAGGAGAAAGGCTACTTAAATCCCTGAAAGATTGGACTTCTGGAATATGTTTCAAGAAAGGCCGTATCCCTGGGTAGCTGTGTTTCCAAAATTATAACTTTAAACAAATTATAACTTCAGTTTACACCAATTAATTATACAAAGCGTAACTTCAACCTCCAACCAAGTAACCTGTTTTCATGATCAGATACGACTCATTTATACTTAAGAACATTTATTTCTATGAAAACAGCATGCTCCTGCCTTAGAAAACAAAGCCAGAAGAAAACAATTTGTCCTTTAAAATGAGTTAAACACATCCACAATGCCATTTTTTATAGGAAACCCTTCCCTTGGTGCTCTTAGGGACAGCTTTGGGACAGTGCCTGCAGCTACTTGTAGCTGCACAAAATGACCCCTACTCTCTCTGAGATCCCCTCCCGACATGGGCCTGGAGAGCCTCCAAGAGCTGAGAGGAGAAGGTGTGTGTTGGGTTCTCAGCTTTGAACTTGAAATATGGTTTGTCATCGAAATACCATCAACTATGAAATATACTATCAATTTGATTTTTCCACTTACAGGTTAAGATAGATTCTTCTGGGCTGGCTTGCAAATTTATTTACTGCCTACAATATTATTTCTCTCAGAAAACTACATAAAGAGAACTCCTGCGATAGGACCCCTTCATAAGTCAGATCTTTTCCCTGCAGGAGGTACAAAAGTGGATTTTAAACCCATCCCACTCTACATGGTCATACGTTTTGAGAGTGTGGCCTGTGAATTCATGAGATTTAGTTATATTTTGTTCAGTTACTTTCTCTTGAGTATAATAAATAACCACAGTCATTTGTGCATCCTAAGAACAAGTTTTATTTATCAGCAGCTTCAAGAGCCTTCTTTGCAGAATTTATCAGTGAATGAAATGGCAAATGAAAGGACTGTTAAACATCTTGTCTTCCAGCTAAAATACTATGCTTTCACAGTTGTATAATCTTTCAAGATTGTCATAGCTCCTTCTAAGCCACTGGCTGCTGGAACCCTCGTGATACTCCCTGCGACATGGACAGGGGTTAGATGTGCAGGTATTAGTATATCACCTTGCTACTCTCCCACTCAGAGAAGCTAGAAAGTGGCTATTTACAAAGAAAGCCCCATTGGAAAGAAAAAAAAGGTTGATGTAACTGTGACCAAAAAGATGGTGCTAAATGGGACCATGAAAAAGGGAAGGTCAAAATAGGTGGTTAAGAGGAAATCCCTGTACTAAAGGATTTTGAGGCCTTGTCAGTGTCTTTGTTCCTCAAGGAAAAGGATTTGCTTTTGTTAGATTTGAGCCAGTGACCCTTTACCTTCAGGACAAAGGTAATAATCAGTAAACCACAGAAGCAAGCCTCCTGTATTAAATTTTGCTGAAGTTTCTTTCCTTTTCTTTCAGTTTTATCCAAGTATGAAAACCAGATTACTATTTTCACTGACTACCTAGAAGAATTTCCGGATGCAGATGAGCTGGTATGGATCTTGGGGAAACAGCATCTTCTGAAAACGGGTAAGGTTTGGTAGCATTTGTCTGTGAGAACCCAAATGACGTGTGCTCGAGGTTAAGGTCCTATCTTGTTTTCCTCCTTGGGTTGATAGGTGTTAATGCTACTCCTGGGTGTATTTACCTTGCAGCTAGAGGTGTTTAAGCCTCAGGCCCCTTGTTGGCACACAAAGTCCCTTCCAAGGCCCTGAGAGGCCTTAGGAGTGTGTTCCCATGGTCATAGGTGATTGTACAATTTGAAAAAGTCAGATATTTGTATTCTTTTCCTTAAAGGAGAACTCCTGAATTCTATAAGTCTCACATTTCAAAAAACATGGACCCACTCCTGGTATCGCTAACCAGTACCTAGTCTTTGATGACTGGGCTACATACTTCTCATTCCTCTCATGTCCTTTTATGTCTAGATGAAAAACAGTGTCACCTAAGGGACTTCTAAAGGGCCCAAGGCTGTCAGAAACAGTATCAGACACTGAGAAGCCTTGTAGTTGTAGAGCTTCTGCTGACCGCAGTGCTGTCTCAGTTTATCTGATTTTGTATAGAACTTTTAGCCACTGCAGCTAGATGGAAAGGAGGCTTGGATTTTTCTTCCTTACCCTTACATTCTTGTAGACCTTTTAACGTGAAACTGCTGACAACCCAGCACCTAGATAAAGCCTGAACTTGGAGAGAGGCAGCTCTGATATTTTGTATCTGAAGAGAGATCCTCTTTGGAGGGCCTAGCATAGAGGGAGGGACAGGGAGAAGCTGATGAAAAGGCAGGAGAGGAAGGTAGCATCTAGCTCTGTCTGAGTCTGGCTTCATCTGTTTTATTGGAAAAATCCTGAACAGTGGAGAGGGCCTAGCTCTAGCAACTAGGAGGCCTTTTGTATTCAGATTCCTCTCCTACCTTGGATAAGTCACTTTCTCTTTCCGGATCTTAACTCCTTTCACCAGTACTTAACATGAGGGGGACTGGAGATGATGTCTTCAGTTCTACGTTCCATGACAGTGGGAATCCCCAGGTTGCCAAATATATCCATATTCAAATGTTAAGTTGGAAAATGCCTTTAAAAGTGAAATTATTGTTAAAATGTCTATACAACTTCCCCCAGCCTTTCTAGCATATGGGCAAGCTGGAAGGCAGAGAGAATATCAGCGGAAGGAGTGAGTGAGCATTTGAAAGGAGGGTACATGATAACAGCTAACGGTTAGCTTACTAATTTAGGCTTACTGTGTACTGTACCATCAAAGCACTTTCCATGTAGTATTATCTTGTTGATACTCAAAACTCTGTGAAGTAGGTCCTATCATTCTCCCCATTTTGCAGATGAGGAAACTGAAGCTCAGAGAGGTTAAGTGACAAGGCCACACAGTTGGTAAGTAGCAGAATCAGGGTTCAACCCCAGGCAGAGTATTACTCCAGAAGTCTTACTCTTAACCATTTTACATCTACTTCCCGTATCTGCTGGGCACTGGGGACGTGAAGGGGAGGGAAAATCCAGACAGCTCAACTTTCTGATTTGTTCAAAGGAAAGGCAGTGATACAGGAAAATGTGGGGTGAGAGGATCGCCATGTCCCAGGTCTTGGTTGAGAATTCAAGAGTGAGTCACAGTTGAATAAAAGTCGATTTATTCAGAGAGATACATATTCCATAGACAGAGTGCAGGCTGTCTCAGAGGGAAAGAGAAAGGCCACGAAGTGTGGGGTTTGGGGCTTAGTTTAAAGTAGAAGTAGATACACACTCCATAGACAGAGTGAGGGCCATCTAGGAGGGAGCGAGAGCCTGTGAGGCATGGTGTTGCTAGTAATTATGGGCTCAGTAGCTTCATACGCTAACAAGTGGGAGGATTATTCCAACTATTTTGGGGAAAGAACTGGGATTACCAGGAATTGGGCCAGTGCCCACTTTTTATCTTTTATGGTTAGCCTCGGAGCTGTCATGGCGCCTGTGGGAGTACCACTTACCGTGTTAATATATTACAGTGAGCGTGTAATGAAGCTCAGGGTCTACTGGAAGTCAAGTCTCCCACTATCTTGGGCTTCAAGGTCTGTTTGGAGCTGAATTTTCCACCACCTTGGTGTTAATTGCTGTGTCATTCCTTGAATGACTGTGTCCTGTCCCCTTCCTTTCTGTCTCAGTAGAAGAGAAAACAGACTGTTGGCTAAAATTGAATTTCTTTTTCTTTTTTTAAAATGCAATGGCTATAAGTTCTATACAGAATACAAATATGGATGTGTTGTTGAGAAGAGGGAGAGAGAAGACTGAGAAAGACAGAACCACATCTAAGTACAGATGGAAGTGTGGAAGCCATGTTTGTGGCCATCGAAGTAAATTTATGCTATAAACTACGTGAAAGTGTGCTTTGAAAAAAATATACAAAAGCATTTGTGATGTTTTATATCCATTTCGATTACAAATGCCAGTTGCACTAGGTAGTACTGGTAAATTTCTTACACACTTAGTTTGCTTAGCAGGATCATTTCCTATTTAGTTAAAGATTAGTGTGTGTACATACATGCATATAGCTCATCCTTAGTTTTGGATAATAGACAGTGGATGCTGATGAGAGATCCAGCCAACCATCATCATTCAGGTAGGGGCTGACTGCCTTGTTAGTGGTTAATCCAGAATCCTTGCTTTTCCTAGTCCTTGTCTTTTGGCCATGACCCCAGTGTTAAGTAACTGCCAGGGCTATGGAGCTCAGTGAGAAGGAGATGGGCTCTACCCAACATCATTGTACCAGCCAGTAGCTCTGGTCAAAACATAGGTGGGAGGAAATGCTGAAATTATTTGGCTAAAGTGAGCCTGGGATTCCTATGAATTTCCCTAGCCTCATAACAATGGAATTGACTGGTTATTTGCAAATGAGTTTGCTGCTGGCTCAGAAATCAAAGGCAGATATCTTTAGTTGGGATATGGTGATTTAATATTAATTTCACATTTAATTACAGAAAAATCTAAGCTGTTGTCTGATATAAGTGCTCGTCTATGGTTTACATACAGAAGGAAATTTTCACCAATTGGTAGGTATATCATTTGTTGTACTATGCTTTCTTCCTTATAGATAGCTTGCCTGAGGTTATCAGTGGCTTCACAGAAGCCTCAGAATTAACAGCTAACTATGGTGAAGAATTTAATTTCGGGGAGTAGTTAAGTCTTATGCTTTATCCAGAAGCTTCATTGCCAAAGTGCCTCATCATGTATGGTTCCATGGTGTTCCTATGTAATGCGGGTATACTTCTGAGCCCACCTCCAAGTGTTCAGGCACTTAGACATATTACTTGTTTTTCTTCTAAGAGCAAGGAAAACGGCAAATAAACTTTTAATTTGAACAGTATCTATTAAATTACATCCCACTGCTTTGTGAAGCTACTTGATTATTAAAAATAACTGTATATGTGTATGTGTATATATATATATATATATATATACACACACACACAAAATCTTATGGTAGCTCACAGAGAAAAAAATGTGACAATGAATATATATATGTTCATGTATAACTGAAAAATTGTGCTGAACACTGGAATTTGACACAACATTGTAAAATGATTATAAATCAATAAAAAATGTTTAAAAAAATGATTGTACCTTGAAGTAAAGAAAATAATTCCTTTGATTTTTATTTTTTCCTATGAGATGAAAACATCTTGTCACTGACAGTTGAAATATAATAGATTTGCTTGGAATGAATTCTAGGCAGTTAAGAGCACATGCTGCTGGCCAGAAAAAAAGAACAGTTCAATAAGCAAAGTGGATAGGATTCCTCTAGAAACGATTTGTAAAATGTTTGCAAGTAGGGTGACCAGTTCCTAGTCTCATGGCCTGATAGGAAAGGATTATCCAACTTAAATGGTGGAAACTATTCTCCTAAGAGGAAACCTATCTGACTGATTTTGGTTCACACTGTACCTAGTAACTGGAATGAAATCAGCCTTTTTGATAAGTGTGAAAAATGAAGTCCACAGAGACCTTTGTAAAAAAATTTATTTTTGGCTCTTTATGGGAAGTACCTGAACAAAATACAGAAAAAAACAGTCTTTAGTACCCAGTGGTTCTAAACTGTTAACTTTCTCTGGGTGAAGAGATCTTTGTAAGATTTGAAAGCATTTGCGATTCAACTCTGACAATGTTTTGGCAGTAGATGGTCTCTTCCTTATGTGGGCTTCATTGCATCTTTTCCAGACTAATCTGGCCTCCAGCTCACAAGTTGGCTTAACCCTCCCCAGCTTGCTGTAGCAACTCTCCTTCAGTCCCCACAACAAAAAGAAAGGAGCAGCCACCTTGGTCCACTTGCCTTACATGGTTGGTGACCCCCTTTAGAGTTAGTCTTGTGAGATCATGCTTATGGCACCTCCATGCTGAGAAAGGAAAGCAGTGAACGCAGAATGTCTCCTCTGCCATCCAAATTACCTGATTTCATGGGTACCTTGACAAAGGATATTGAGCTCACCCTGGCCACGTATGTGGGATTTTTGTTACATCAAGTGTTTTCTTTTTTGAATTTTTAAAATTGAAGTATAGTTAGTTGCATTGTGTCAATTTCTGTTGTACAGCACAATGTCCCAGTCATACGTATGCATACATATATTCATTTTCATATTCTTTTTCTTTAAAGGTTATTATAAAATATTGAATATAGTTCCCTGTGCTATACAGAAGAAATTACATCAAGTGTTCTTTACATGGAACCTGTTGTCTTATTAACTGATTTTGTGCCTTTTAAAGATGTAGTACATTTCTCATTTATTAATACTATTTTTAATTATGACCATACTCATAACATCAAGTATTTACCTCATCCTGAGTAGGTTGTAGAACAATTTCACAGATACTCTCTCATTTAATTCTTACAATACCCACTGATATTAGGCAGAGTATGTGCTATTATCCCATCTGTAGATGAGACTTAAATATTAGGTAACTAGAAACTGGTCTTCTGATGACTAGTCTAGGGCTCTTTCCTTTATTTTACATTGTCCTTTTTGCTGTTTAGAACTTCATAAATGTAAATTTAGTCAAGAGCCTTCCAGATTTCTTTGACCATTTTGATGATTACCTTTGGTAGCATTTATTCCTTATCTGAGGTAAGAGTGCCCTCCCTGAGAAGTGAGTTGTGGAAAGCCAGGTTTGGTCAGGCAGATGATGACATGGCACGGACTGGGTGTTGATAGTCATACATGGTAGTCATCTACCAAAACTGCATGCATACCTGGACGTCTCTAAGCAGAAAACATAAGGGGCAGGTTTTGTTCGTTTGTTTGTTTTGTCCTTGGCCGTAGAACCTGTTTTGGTTAACTCAGCATTATCTTTGCAAGTTCCGCCCTCTAACAAACCCTGTTTGCTATCTGGCTCTCTCTCTTGCCTCTCTATTCAGAGTATGTGTGCCTGTCTGTCTTGTACAATTCCCAAATATGCTAATGTTTCAGGAGAGGACAATGTAAGGAATTCATATTCATTCCCATCCATTTTGCCAACAGGGGGAACGGGCCCTTCATCAGATGCTGGCTGGGGGTGTATGCTACGCTGTGGACAAATGATGCTGGCTCAAGCCCTTATCTGCAGACACTTGGGAAGGGGTGAGTTAAATTTGTTCTCAAAACTGCCTCAGAGACCTCTGTAGCTGCACCTATTGCTGGTGGTTTAGCCTTGGTGTTGAGGGAGCAAAACTGCAGGTCCTGAAGTGCTCTCTGCCAGCTCAAGTCGGAGGCTGACAAGTCAACAAAGCCTCATGAGAAGGAAACAGCCAGCATTTCCTTGTGACTCACCAAGCCAGAGAGTTATTTTCCTGGGACAGAATTGAATGTTGAGGCAGGTGTATCATTTAGAATTTCCATCTTCGCTATTGTTCGAGTGAGTCCTTAAACAGATCAGATAACAAAAGGAGCAGGAAGGAGGGTGTGGTGGTAAGTCTGTTTTTTGACCTCATTTAAAATATCTGCCTGATGAAGGATGTCAGTGACCTTAAAGGAAGTGCCTAATGCAGGAGCTGGCGCTATTTTGGTTTGGGTTCACTGACGATGGCCATTTGATGATGAAGGAATTCTTAAATTAGCTTCCTCAGGAGGCTGCTTCATTAAGAACCTTCCGGTAATCATTGTTGGAGCTCTTGAGTCTTGCTTTCTCAAGACCTCTGCATGCTTCCCTATCGGCGTCTGTAGGCTGACCTTGGTTGGATGCCAGTTCAGGCATTTGGTTCAAGTCTGGTTTGACTAGGGGATGAGGGATTGAAAGGACACCTTGGATGAGATTGGGCTGCTGAACTCATCAGTTGTTGCTCCTTGAGATTCAGAGGTACAGAAACACACTCCCTTTTCCCCACTGCACCACTTCACCCATCCTCCTGCAGTTACCAGAGAGGATTGGGGAAGGGTATGCACGGGTTTCAGGGCTTAATGCCTTCATTTCAGGGTTAAGGATATCCTGTGCCTGTGTCCCCTGGGTAGTGGCATACTATCTGTTTTATAGATGAGGAAACTGAGGCTTAGGAACTGAGTCAAACAGCAAGAAAGTTTTGATTTGGGAATAGAAGGCAGGTCTTCTGACTCCTTGTCTAGTGATTTTTCTACTGTACACATACTTCTTGGAGCAGGTCCGTTCTTAGTGTTTAACTTTCCCACTTATGAAATACTTCAAGATGATTCTTCTGGAAGTGAGTTTTGTGGAAAGCAAACTGGGGAGAAGAAGCCCACAGTCAGCAGTCTCAATTGTTTTAATATAAAAGCAAAAAGTAGCAGGAATAATTTGAAAGTAGATCTTAGAGCTAAGATGAATTAGAAGATGTAATTTTATAAAGAAGTACTTTGGAGTGCTTCCTATTTGGTTATTTTACAGTTGAGGTGGGGTGTTCACTTATCACTGTCATCAGTAAATATTTAGCAGCCAGCTAACCAGGATTTCCCCCCCGACTTGGACAGTTTGGTAGGTGATGAAAACCAGTTGGATGGTGTTCACCCTCTGAAGACTGCTGGATACGAAGTTGAAAACTTTGGTTTCAGAAATTACTGGAAGCAAGGAGTACTGAAAACTCTGGGGATAATAGCCTTTGGCTTCAAGTAGATTTCAGTTGTGAATCCAAACGCTCTCTAAAATCTCAAGAGAGAAATTTATGTCTTGGAAGCAAACTAAGGCTCAGAAATCTGTCCTGTTAGACAGCGTTCCTTGAGCTGAGGGAATGGGAGTAGGGCGTCCTGCCCACGGCGATGATGGGTTTCTGCAGTTGTCCTCAGTGAGCAGTAAGTAGCCTCTGTAGGATTTGAGGGACTGTGTCTAAGGCGCAGATGGGATCCCTACAGATATTTTAGTTTTCGTCATAAGGAAATCTTGAAGATCTGATAGCAAAGGTATTTGTTTTTCTAAAGCTCAGTGTGACCTTTTTAAAAGGTTGTGTAAAAATGGCAGCATGGATTTTTTTTTTCCCTTAAAGCTTCCTTAGCTGCGAATGGTGCATCTTCCCCTGGGAAGGGCTGTGTGTCAGAATAGCACTTCCCCCAGTGAGACTCCTTTGGCACTGCTGTCAAAATATACGGACCAAAGCCATTGCTGTCTGTGTGGAAATGAGACACTATGGTGTCTGGGTGATATACCGAGGTTTTGTGGTGACCTCCTGTTCACTGGGTAGCTGACCATAAAGGCCTTGTGACACTGTTTTCAGGTCATATTTATCCAACTCCAGCTCGTGGGCTAAGCCAATTCCTTGGTCAACTTCTTGTTTTGCTTTTACTTTATACCCACTGAGTCTTTGAAAAAAAATCAGTTCACAGATGTCTTTGTCATCAAATATTCAAGATTCTTAGGAATGTTCTAACCTGATTGTTCTCATCTTCTAGGTGTAACTCCTTTGTTTTCCTTCTAACTTCATAGTCACAGTAAGAGTGCAGAGAAATAATAAACTCTCTTACTATAAAAAATGATTTTAACTCTTTTTCCCTAAAAAGACTGGAACTGGGAGAAACAGAAAGAGCAACCCAAAGAATACCAACGAATCCTACAGTGCTTCTTAGATAGAAAAGACTGTTGCTACTCCATCCATCAAATGGGTAAGATTACATCAGTAGTTTAAAGGCTGTCTCTGTTCTGTAGTCCAATTAAGAGGAAAGAAACACTGTATGTGAAATTCAGCTTACGTGGCCTGTACTTGCTCTTCTCGTCCTCTGCTTTATATGTGGCTCCACTAAGTCGTCCATCTACTTAATTATTTATGCAAAAAATTAGGAGTTTGTGGTTTGTTGGAAGACCTTTTGCTAACATGTTTATTTTTTCCACACAAAAACAGCACAAATGGGCGTAGGAGAAGGGAAATCAATTGGCGAATGGTTTGGACCAAATACAGTTGCACAGGTGTTAAAGTAAGTAAAAGAGTCTGGCATGTGCGTTATTCTACTGTCTCCTATGCCTCCCTCCACCAACTCAGTGTCCCATCAACCTAACTGTTCTTGCCATCCCACTAAGCTACCCCTCCCACTAAGCTACCAAACATCTGGACCATTTTGCTCAGATGGTTCTTTAAAATGTGTAATACATGTGGACAACTGTCTTGGTATATCAGAGCTGGAGTCATTGGTACCCGTCTATGTGGAGGCCCCTCAGGACTCACTCCATATCCCCTGCTGTAGGCTGGTGCTGACATGCCAGGGAGCCATCAGCCTGAGGGTCACTTTGAAGCCAAAAGGTTTATACTAAGAGGGGAGGCCTGAGCCAGCCTAGACAAGACACAGACTCCCACCCTGTGTAGTAGTACAAAAAAAATATTCTTCATTGATTCAGTCAACATTTCCTGGGTGATGCTACTGTGCTAAGTACTGGGTGTACAGAAATAAACTAGACTTAGTCATTGCCTCAAGGAACTCACCACCTATTGGAGGAGACAAGCCCCAAGAGAGTCTTGGAATCAGTTTGTCATCTCTTAGCAGATTCAAGGTACCCCAGCGTGGTACTTTTGCACTTGTCCTGGTAAGTCCCAGAAGTCCCCTCCCACAGCAATAGGTGAAGCAGAGAGGCCAGGGCCAACATTGTGGAAATGAATGGGGTGAATGGCAGCAGCACCGACACCTGCAGGCCACCTCATCCATTGTCACTCTCCTGCCTGACAACCTGTCACCAAACAAAAACTCCATGAGGGCAGATATTGTATTTGTCTGGTTCTGTCCTGAAACACTAGCACATCACGCTGCCTGGCACATGGCAGTACTCAATAAATACTTGATGAATGAGTGAAAATGGCAGCCAGAATCGGGCTGGATTTAGGCATCAGACGATGGAAACCACCTGGCCTTCTTTGGTGTAGCTACTTCAGTTCCCGGGCTCTCTGGAGTGTGATGGCAGGACCTGCTCCAGGCAAAATACAGATAGGGCACTGTTTCCATCATTAGCCAACCTTCGGGGAACTAGAATGCTTTGGTAATGTGCTTGTGAGGAAAGTAGTCTGGATTTCCTGGGAACCGGAGGGAACCTATAGCTTGGCATTACTCTTTGCCAACAGTGCAGCCTTTCTGAGACCACGTTCTTGCCTTAGTCTGTAGTGCCCTTTGGCGGCATTGTTGATCTGCTGAGTGAGGATCTGGCAGGATTTCAGGAACCACTGTAGGAGCCCAGGGTAGAAAGTGTAGAAGATTAGAATGGCTGTGCTGATCCCCAAACCCAGCTTGATATGGTTGATTTTAAATGACATCCCTCAGAATTTGCTTCTTCCTTCTAAATTTTGAGGTTCCCAACAACAAGCAAATGGAAACATACATTTTTAAAAGAATTTAAGTGGGTTCTTACTCATCATGATCATGATTATCATTAACAACAGCATATGATGATGATGTCATCATTGTTTTGGGGAAAGATAATACATTAAAATGAGTGAAATTAAAATATAATGGTTGGGGGAGGGTATAGCTCAGTGGCAGAGCATGTGCTCAGCATGCACAAGGTCCTGGGTTCAATCCCCAGTCCCTCCATTAAAAATAAACAAATAAATAAAAACTTAATTCCCTCCTCCCCCCCAAAATAAATTGTAACAATGTGAAATTGTAGAAAAAAATGCTCAAAAAAAGAAAAATTAAAAAAAATATATAATGGTAATTAACCCCTTCCTGGGAGCCACTTCGGTTTGGGAGAGAACGTGGTTTTTGTTTGGTCTGGTTTTGCTTTTTTGGCCATTGAGACTGGGTTTTACCCAAGAATCCCAGAGTAGCTAGGTTAAACATGTCTTCTTCAGATTGGCAAGAGGAGAACATGATAAGGGAGAAATAGGCAAGATACTTTACTCAGACCTCAGATTATCTCCCTTTTAAAGGGATTTTCTTTCTAATTTCCTCTGAAGTCATGTAATTCAGCACGCTCTCTTTCTTCCGCTATTGACCAGCAAGGTCGGGCACTAAGTCCATCTCGGCCCAGGTCTCCTTGGACAGCATCCTTACGGCACGTGGGAAGGGGTGGAAGAGATCACTTCTCTCTCTCTCTCTGGATTTCTCTGGGGCTTATTCTTTGTATTATCTATACTCCTAAACAAATATAGATATTTTAATAACAGTTTTCTTTTTTTTTGAAAAATCAGAATGTCTGTTATTTAAGAAAAGAACACCAAATCTCTTGGGAGCAGATGCACTGGTAACTTCTCTCTTTCACCCAATAGGAGTAACATTGTTTTATGAGGCAGACTTTTCCATTTTGTAAAGCAGGACCTTCTTTTTGAGGTTCAGAAACAGTGACTCTGGCATTCCATTTTCAAGGTCACTGGACAGGGAATGTTCCAGAGCTCAGTCAAGGGAGCCAGACCTGACCCAAATCCCAACTTCTCTGTGGCTCAGCGTTTGGTAACTTCAGGAACACTGGGCACATGTAGGTTGCACTGCTTCCTGCCGAGATTTCCATCTTCTCCAATTGTGACTTCATCATATGTTGCTTTGCAGAAAACTTGCTTTATTTGATGAGTGGAATTCCTTGGCTGTTTATGTTTCAATGGATAACACCGTGGTCATTGAGGACATCAGTGAGTCCCCGGCCTGTTGACCTTGTTGGGTGGTGGGTGATGACGTTCTTCCTCAGCATTCAGAAAGTGTGTGTGTGGTTGGGGGAGAGAGAAGGAGAGAGAGAGGGAGAGATACACACTCACTCACTCACTCACACTCTGGCCTGTGCCTCTAGCAGGGCAGAGGAGCTTCGGGAGTACAGGGCTCTGGTTCATCACTCCCTGCTCCCTTTTCTCTCTTCCCTTTCAGCTTTCTGAAAGGGGAACACACTTAGAGGATCTTTGCCGCCCCTCAGGGAGGTCCCAGACACTTTCCTTCCAGGACTCCCCGGGTGCGGATAATGAGTTAAACCACCGACAGGTCTTCTGTGGCAGCCCTCGCCGTGCTCCCCGCCACGGGCTTAGAGAGACCAGCAGACCCAATCCCTGTTTGCAAGGCCCTTGCAGTCTAGTTGAGAAACGAGATTCTCTCAGTGAGCCCATGATATCTGAGGAGAGGTGAGTGAGTGTTCAGCTGCCAGCAGGAAGAGAAGGAAGGGCTGGAGGAGTGGCCTGGGCCTCCTGCGGGAGGTGGGGCCGCAGGGCCCTGGTGGCGGAGGGGAGGGCCCTCCAGGCAGGGGCTGTCATGTGAGGTCTCCCTCAGTCTTGCCCTGGGCATCTCTGAGGGCTGGATCCCCCTTATTTGCCCAGCTCTCTTGTCTTCTGTTTCTAGAAAAGATGTGCTGCACCCTTCCCTTGAGTGCTGACACAGCAGCTGAGAGCGCCCCCGACTCTCTGAATGCTTCGACCCAGCGTAGGGGCCCCTCTGCCTGCCGCCCAGCCTGGAAACCCCTGCTGCTCATCGTGCCCCTTCGCCTGGGCATAAACCAAATCAATCCTGTCTATGTTGATGCCTTCAAAGTAAGTCGCACCTTGCCCCGAGCCCCTTGCCGCCTGCCCATCCCACCACCATGTGAGCATGGAGATCCGTGAGCAGCAGTCCGCAAGTGAGTTGAGCATCCTGCATTCTCTTTCCCTCCAGGAGTGTTTTAAGATGCCACAGTCTTTAGGGGCATTAGGAGGAAAACCAAATAACGCCTATTATTTCATAGGATTCTTAGGTAAGAAAAGAGGAATCACAAGTAAGTCATTGTGGGCTAGGGGAGGGTGGGCAGGTTTGCACGGGAGACCAGGCAATTCTAGCCTGGAGATGTTGTGGCCTCTGGGTAGCTCATCCTGTCTTCAGCCTGAAAAGTGACACTTACATGGACCTAATAGAGAGCAGATCCCCCTTTGATGCTTCCACTTCCTTGCCTCTTGATAAGATGGTTCCACGGCTGCTTTCCCGCTGGACCACTCCAAGGTCCTAGTACTGCTTCAGGATCTGTCTCTCATTCCTGTGGGACCCAGGGCGGCGGGGCTTGGCTCCCTTGGCCTTGCCGATCCCCATCTCATCTGGGCTTAAGCATTCAGGCTAGGAGCTGTCCTCTGGCTTCCCAGGTCCATGCAGCTCGGCCTGCTAGTTCATTGTTCAGAGCTCTGACTAGGTGGGAATTAGAGGAGGCGAAGACAGAGGTATCCCTTTTCTGATAATGGAGGCTCGGCCTTAAAGCTGCTGACCTCCTAACGCGGATTCTGATGAGCAGCCGGCATTCTCTCCTTCGGTAGACGCCTCTGGAAGCCTAGCTGTGACCAGAGACCTTTAAGGCCCTTGGCACACAAGATGAGGTAGCCTGGTGCTTCTCAAAACTTTCATGTGCACAGGGATCACCTTGAGAGCCTATTAAAATGCAGGTTCGGCAGGTCTAGGGTGGGGCCCGGGGGCCTGCATTTCTAACAAGGTAGTGCCAGTGGTGCTGGCACTCGCCACGCTTCGAGTACCAGAGACCTTGACACCTGGTTAGGACTGAAGAGCACGGGTGAGGGAGTGAGGCGGTTGGGGAAGTGTGATACGGGACCCCTCTGGCAGGAGTGGGCTTCCAGGAAGTTGTGAGCTTAGAGTGCGAGGGAGAGCCCAAAGCAGGCATAGGGAATGGCCTGAGGGATGTGCAGAGGACAGGGTGAGATGAGCTTGGCTCCTCTCCCACCCATCTCCCCCTCAGAGATTCAGGGAGGCAGGTGGAAACAAACCTGGCCCTGGATGTGGCTAGTCTCCCACTGGCTAGCTGTGTGACAGCAGGACGAGTGACAACTCTTTCAGTCTCAGGTTCTTTTTACGGAAAATAGGGCTGACACCTGACTCACACGCTTTGTCATCTCACAGTCAAGCCCTCAACAAAGAGCCAGCCTTACCGCAATGCCTCTTTCCTCTGCTTGCTCTTCCTCTCTTTAAGGTGAGGTTTCTCCGCAGTTGCCTTGGCTCAAGTGCTGCCATCTACTGGTCGAGCCTGAGAACTACAGCTTGATGGAAAATAAGGAAACTGGAGGCTTTTATTTTTCTAAGTACAAAACCTAATATTTAGATGTTCTCTGTTTCTAAGCTTTTGGGTTCCTGTCAAAGAAAATGTTGCTGAACTCTATTTTCTATTGCTTGTGCTTGAGGACAAGGTGGAAACAGATTGGAAAATAATTTTGTAGGGATCTCAGTGAATTTCTGGGCACCTTGGCCTCCCTTTATCCCAAGTTTCCCAGGGAGAATTCACCAAGCTGGCATAGCCCTCCTGTTTCCAGGGGCCACTGGGTCGGGGAGACTTTTGTGGAGTCGGACTACTTATGAAAGAATTGTGGGCAATCCTCAGCTCCCAAGACAGAGGTTTCCATAGGGGCCATTTGCCCACTCACTTTCATAAATCCTTTGTTTAACCTTCACTTAAGGCTCCAAAGTCCTCCCAACACCCCTTTTCTGACTCACCCCCTTGCTGTACCAGGTCTGGGGGGTCCAGATTGGTAGAATGCCTAAAGGGAGGGAAGAGATGAGAATTGCCATTTTCTACACCAGGGACTCTGCAGAGCATTCTCTCTCAATCTCTCCCTCTCTTTCTCTCTCCTTCTCTCTCCATGTATAAAAATACATATACTTATATTATCACTGTAATATATTGTTTATTATATTATATATTGTATATTAAAACCTGTATACATGTGCCGAGAGATACAAATTAATATCGATAGTTAGAGATGGATAGCTGTAGAGAGATAGATAGAGTTAGCAAACACCCCTGTGGGGTAGAGGTCATTATTTCCATTGACACCTAGTGAAACATTTAGAGGCGCTGTTTCCTCAGAGTCATCAAGCTCAACAGTAGCAAAGCCAGGGTTTGATCCCAATTTGGCCATCCCTGCCCACCACACCACATTGCTTCTCGAGTGCCCTCTTGCCCAAGTGGGGAGCTGGGAGAAGCTCCTGGTGTGCAAGACTACACACCAGGCCAGGGTGAGAAACTGGCTGGGAGACTTTTTTCCACTTAGAGAAGAGATGTTTGTCCTCTGCATTTTGGTGGGGGTCGCCACCTGGAGGTCCGTCGCATGAGCCCGGTGTCTGCAGATTGTTGACGTGCCTGCCCCTTCTCTTTAGGTCTTATTAGAGACGTTGATTTAGTCCCCATATCGTTTCTAGGACTTTTTATTTAATCTACTGTATCTCTTTTAAGCACTCTGAGAAATAGGGCAGGCCACAAAGCTCCACTGCACGCGTGTGCACGCACGCACATACACACACACACACAGACACACACACACACACACACACACACACACGGGAAAGGGCCAGAGTCAGAGAGGATGCTGTGATTATTCCCAGTACCTTAACTCAAACACTGGCAGAGGTGGGGAGGGTATAGCTTAGTGGTAGAGCGGATGCTTAGTATGCATGAGGTCTTGGATTCAATCCCCAGTACCTCCGTTTTTAAAAAAAGTTTTAAGAAACCCAAGCAAACCAAAAAAACACTGGCCTCTGACCCTACTTTGGATTTACATTTTCTTGTGCACAACTTCTTTCTCCTCTTCCCTTTCTGTGGTCTTAGGTAGGCTTCCTTCTAAACGTCGTGGTTGTTACTCTTCCTTGTACCTTGAGGCTTTTTTTTGATATTAACTGATCTTACCCACCTTGGTCTGGGGGAATATGTACCTTGACTTTCATAAAGCAAGTCATTTGGAGGCACTGATTTCCATATTATATATGAAGGGAAATACTCCTGAGTCTCAGCAAGCTACTTCTATGACCACCTTGTGTTTGTGTTGTGTTTTAAGCATTTCACAGAGGTGAAATCTTCTCATTCTGGTCAGACCCTGTGACGTAACTGGGACAGGCCTAGTGACCCCAGTTCAAAAATAAGAAAATTAAGACAGAGTGAGGGAAGTGGTCTGTCCTTCATCTGTGATAAACGTGTCCTATGTTTGCATCAGACACCAGACACACTCTTTGCCAACAGGAGCACTTAGATGTGCCCAACATGATCCTGGATGCCATTCCAGGGAGGGTCTTTGGGGTGTCCCTCCCTACCCCATCCTCCTGCCTCAAGGGATCTCTCTTTGCTTGCCTAACCCAGTCTAGAACACAGGAGCCCAGATGGCTTTTGGGCCTGGCCAGTGAGGTTGGGGTACCCGCTCTGGTACTTGGCCAACTCAGCATGCAGCTGACAAGCATCAGAGGGACTCTCTGCCCTCTAAATATCAGATAAAAGTGGAGATTTTACTATCCCAGACCCCTCCCAGGGCATTACTAGGCTAGGCTTTTTCAATTTAATGGAGCATGATTTTTCTCTCATTTGTAATGATCAGTCATCTCAAAGTGAGTTTTCCCGGTGAGGCGTGTCTGTACTGATATTAATGTGACCAAGGCAGTGCTTTCTGACAGGAATTACTGACTTGCTAACAATGACTAACTTGCTAGCTAGTCAAGCCAAGAATTCAGCTCCCTGGTATCTCATCCATAGCAGAGTCAGCATTCCCATTTCTTTTGGAGGCCAAAGCCTTTTTCCTTCCCAGATGTGCTCTTTGACCACAGCTCTAAGAACCAGTGGTCTTGAGCAAGATGTTTTCCAATGTTGAAAGAGTCAGGAAGCTCCCTAATGGCACCTGGACTCATGGCCTGGTGATTCTACCTACCACCCCTTGGCTACTGCTGCTCACAGAGCCCGCCATGTCATCTGTGGTCGCTCATTCCCATCTTTCCCCAAACCTGTCCCTTTCCATTTTTGGATGTGGATTTTGCAGAGATGTAAATGCTAGGGCAAGTCTTCTCATTGAATGATGGGCTTTGGGTGTAGGTGGCTTCCTTCAAGCATGTTTACCCTACTTCAGGCTTTCTGTCATCTCATTCTCATTGTCACCAAGGGAGGGGTTAGGAAAACCAGAGCACCTCCTCCCAAGGAGAGCAGTGGGACCAGGGCCGGTGGTTCTTCTAAAGTTAAGCTTGTCTCATTCAAAACAGGTAATGAGCTCATTTTTCTGGACCCTCACACAACCCAGACCTTTGTTGACACCGAAGAGAATGGAACGGTTGATGATCAGACTTTCCACTGTCTGCAATCCCCGCAGCGAATGAACATCCTGAACTTGGATCCTTCTGTAGCATTGGTGGGTATCTGAAGGTTGGGTGGGCCAAGAGATACAGTGCTGCCTTATCACAGTTTGATTCCCTGGAAGTTATCCAGGTTGCTAGGTAGTGTGGCAGAAGAATGTTCACTCCCCACCCACCGTGAGAGGTCATGTAGTGTAGTTTAGCGGGGAAGGAACGGACCATGAAGCCGAACTGCTCAAGTTGGGATCTAGGTCCTGCCACCTACCGGCTGTGGACTTATGGGGAGTCCCTTAACTTTTCTGAGCCTTGGCCTTCCTATCCCTACAGTGGGCAAAATAATCTTTCCTTGCTTGTGGGGTTGTGTGAGGTACGCTATGTGTAACACTCTGAGCACAGTGCCTGGCATGTTGCAAGCATTCAAGAAATGTTAGTTATCATTAGTATTACCATCTTTCCCCCTTTTCATTCTTGCCCTCTAATGATTGCCACCCAGGCACAGGGAATAAGATGGGACATAGGTAGGGAGGGATAAGGGGGAAAGACCTCCTGGGTGGACAGTGTCCATTCCTCTGTGCGCACAGTCCAGGAAGCTGCAGGGTTTCCCCCCCTGGAAATTTGACTGCTATCCACACATCGAGGGGGCAGCTGCCTGTGGAGTAGCCAGTGGTTCCGAGGCCTGTCTGCATCCTCTCTTCCACTTTAGCCCAATTGTCAGAGCACCAGTGACAGAGAGCTGACAGAGTCCTCCTCTTGTTTTAGACAGTTCTTTCACTACTGTAGGATGGTTCTGAGGCTAGAGAAGGAGGCTGAAAGTTCTTTATCTTAATAGATAATTTCCTGAAGGTCAAAGCCACCTTATTAAGTAATGTCTCTAGCTAAAATTACCATTTGGCTTTTGTTTGCTGATTTTAATGGGCTATTCTTTATAGATAGGAATATTTGTGCATTGAATGTAATGGAATTAACCCCATGCTTTAGACATTGGTCTTCAAATTACTATATTTCAAAGGGATGGGGTAAAAGGGAAGGGGGCAAAATAAGAGAGAGAAGCAGAGAGAGAGAATCAATATGAATAGACAAATACGTGTGTGTCCAAGTGAGACACGCATATTTCCTCCTTATTGCTGGGAGGACCCATCCACAGGGAGCGGCCCACATACTACATCACAACTCTGGGCCAACAGCTGGCTCCATCTTGCAATACAGAGGGCCTGCCTTGGTGCCCCCGACCTGTTCTAAGTTGTGTTCTTTTGCTTTCCCCCAAGGGATTTTTCTGCAAAGAAGAAAAAGACTTTGATAGCTGGTGTAGCCTTGTTCAGAAGGTAAAGATGTATGTTTTTCTTAGTCTTAAAAAACAGACATTATTCAGTATAATTCTTTTCCAAGACAACTTTTCATAGTAACATAAACCTAGCCTGACACGACTTTACTGCAAGAGAAAGAAAATAAGACGTGTGGAACTGCACCTAACTTTGCAGGAACCAAAACAATGTCTGGTTTGTAATTTGCTTAGTATGTCCAGTGAGCAATATTCTTAGCTACTAAATGTTTCTTCTCATTAAGCCTATGAATCAATGAAATATTCAACTAATATTGCACCATTTTAACCTAAAAATGCCAAGTTTATGTAACTCAGCCTAAATTCTTCCTTATTCTGTTTATAACACAGAGCTGGTTCAAGAAACGAAACTACTTTTCTATTTGTTTAGTGGTCCATTGGCAGTTTAATGGATTCCATTATGGTTTTAAGGGGCTTGCCTTTCTATTAACTGTCTTATTTATATAAAATATAGGCGTACTCCACCTTAAAGGAAACACAATTTGCAGAAATCTGTGTAAATACAAAAGCAAGGTATTCTTTCTTTTTAGCGTTTTATATCAAAGAGTGTTTATCGTTTTGTTGGCTCACAATCTTTGTATGTGCCTCCCTCATCCTTTACTTCTAACACATGCCAAATATGTGGAAGACACTGATAAATGCTTAGTGAAAGAAGGAAGGGCGATCATAGGGAGTAGCGTACAGAGCCCTGGATGGGGTGGCAGGAGACATGATGTTCTCCTATCTGCAAAGCAAAGAGACTGTAGAGATGGGAGCCCAGAGCCTCTTGTAAGGCGGGAAGATTTTTCTTCACAAGTGAACACATAGTTAACACTGAAGTCCCTAGCTGAATCTGAAAGCCAGTGAATAATTAGCTGAGAGATAACGGAGAATTATATTCTAAAGGCAATACGTACATTTCAGAATGCAGCAAAGTTGGATTTAGATCACATTTCAAGTTAGAATGAAACTTTTCTGATAAGACGATGCCATTTAAATTAGGACATACGCCATATAAGTGTTGGACTGAAACTGAAACCATGCCAGTACATACCGATATTCTTTTGGGGCAGATTTGATTACCCAGCATTTCTTAGGAGCCAACACTTCAGGAACATCTCACTCCTAAATTGAGTTGGTCCCGTGCAACTGCCATATGACCTGAACCTCATAATGGAGCGTGGGCAGCAAGTACTGGCCTTCCATCAGATATTCTCTCCAGTGTCCTTCCTTCGTGGCCAGCAGTATGGAGAATTGAAGAGGCCTGGGTCTTCAGATGGGTCAGGTAGAGGATGGGTGTATTTGCTAGGCCAGTGCTTTCACCTTTCAACAACCAGGCCACTCTCTCAGGGTTTGAGGTGCCAGTTGGACAGAAGTGTTGTGACTCTGCAGTGCTTAACAACTGTTTCTGTCTCCTCAGGAAATTCTAAAGGAAAACTTAAGGATGTTTGAATTAGTTCAGAAACATCCATCGCACTGGCCTCCCTTTGTTCCTCCAGCCAAGCCAGAAGTGACAACCACGGGTGCAGGTAAGCTGTTGTTCAGGGGCTCTCTGGGCAGCAAACCCAAGGACAGCAGTTGCTTTATGAGACAAGCAATTGAGGGTCGTGCTGTCCGGGGAATGTAAAATTTCTACTCAGATGGACTGATCAAGGAGTGGTGCTTCTGATTATTTCAATCTTCTGATAAACTGATTTGACCAATTTCAAAGAATGATAATAGAAGAAAATGAGGTCCGTGCAAAAGTGCCGTGCAAAATCAAAGTGACTCGAATTTTTTTTTTCATGGCCTGATTCAGAGAGCAAATCAGAAGCAATGGATAATTCAAAAGGTCCCTCAAAGGTCTTCCAGAGCCTCATCTTCATCACTGTGAATAGGACTATGTAACAAATCCGGTTATTTTGATTCTTCACAGAGAATTGCTAATACTTGGCAGTGGTCCTACCTGTTAGCCTCCTCTACACAAGCTTTTCTGTAGCAAAGCAATTAAAAAATGCATGGTCTTAACTAGCGAGTAATGTACTGATTGCTTGAACCGAAGTGTCCAGCTTTTCTTCTTTCTCATTTCTGTATTCTGATAGAATTCATTGACTCTACTGAACAACTAGAGGAGTTTGACCTGGAGGAAGATTTCGAGATTCTGAGCATATAGGATAGTGGGAACTCAGCTTGGAGATCTGTCTTCCATCTGGCACCAGATGAACATGAACTCATCACATACAACTTTTCTAGTCAGCAAGTGCCTGGTATATGCCAACAGCATACAAACTCTACAGCAATCATGACTGAGCCAATCACTGTTTCTCAGAAAAAGCCAAATAAATGAACAGTAATACCCCTTTCTCCAGAAAGACCTAGAACAATCATGGAATGTAGGAGGAGAAAGATTAGGAGTTGTCTCTTGCTTCCCAGCTTCTTACATGGCCATGGCGAGTCTTCCGCTACTGAAATGAGGAGGTGGATGTCTGGAAGATAGACAGCAACTCCCACCTTGCTTCCAGCACCTGCAGACTAGAGGTGGTGACCCTGTGCTTCTTCACCCTTTCAGGTGTGACCTCTTTGGGCTAAATACTAAGAAGCAATCTGTTGTCTTGCTCTAATAATAAAGTGATAATCATTGCATCAGGGAGGAAAAGTTCTTAAGTTATTTGAATATGTATTTAAATAATTATAATTAATATCAAAGCCTTTCAAAGAAATTACATCAGATGTGCACTTAGTGATCTCCCTCCTGTTTGAGGGAACCTTACTATTTGATGGGTCACTGTCCCCATCCTTACTGATAGTTTTGTCAGATGTCACCCTGTCCTTAAATCAAATCATGATCACTTAAATCGGGGGTCAGCAGGAAATGTTTTAGGCTCTGCAGGCCATGTACCTGCTGTCACAGCTACTCATCTCTGCTGGTGAAGCCCCAGAACAGCCACAGACAAAGTGCACACAAATGAGCCTGGCTGTAATCCAATAAAACTTTATTTACAAAAACAGGTGGGGGGCTGGCTTTGGCCCATAGGCTATAGTTTATCAGTCACTGACTTAAATTATGGATTTTTGTTTGGGAAATTAAAAAGTTGTTTAAGTGAGACTCCATTTTGGTTGCCAGTCATAATTGGAAAGAATTATTTATGTGGTGACATTTAATTTGTGCATCAGGTACAATTCCAAACCATTTCAGGACTAGCCACATACTAAATTTTAAAGCACATATTCATCAAATAGGCTTTGCTAACCACTCTCGCCCTCAAGGCCCAGCAGTATCTTCCAGTTTTCTTCTCCTTGCCTTCTTAATCCATGTGCATTTCACCTCCATCCTCAACCAAGTCCCCAGGAAGGCCAGCAAGCGTGGTTTGAAAGCTAGCACCAAACCAAGGTGGGTTTTTTTTCTTTTGTATATGTAGGAATATGTGAACATTTGTTTCCTTAGATTCCATTTTTTTTTCCAGTAGATAATATATTCCAGTGGTTCAGAATTTGAAAGGTATTCAGGGAAATCTCCCTCGTTCCCACAGGTCATTCCTTTTTCCTGAACACTCCCAATGTTAACAATTTATTCATCCTTCCAGAGGATATATTTTATACATACACAAATACATACACATATATCTTATATTTTTTATTGAAGTATATAGTTGACTTACAATATTGTGTTAGTTTCTGGTATACAGTATAGTGATTCAGTTTTATATATATATATATATATTCTTTTTCATTAAAGGTTATTACAAGGTATTGAATATAGTTCCCTGTGCTATACAGTAGGACTTTTTTCTTTATCTATTTTATATATAGTAGTTAGTATCTGCAAATCTCGATCTCCCAATTTATCCCTCCCCCCACTTTCCCTTTTGATAACCGTAAATTTGTTTTCTATGTCTGTGAGTCAGTTTCTGTTTTGTAAATAAGCTCATTTGTATCATTTTTTTAGATTCCACATATAAGTGACATCATATGATATTTGTCTTTCTCTGTCTGACTTACTCCACTTAGTATGATAATTTCTAGGTCCTCCCCATGTTGCTGCAAATGGCATTATTTCCTTCTTTTTATGGCTGAGTAGCAGTCCATTGTATATACATACCACAACTTCTTTATCCAGTCTTCTGTTGATGGACATTTAGGTTGTTTCCATGTCTTGACTATTGTACATAGTGCTGCTATGAACATTGGGGTTCATGTATTTTTTTGAACTAGAGTTTTCTCCAGATATATGCCCAGGAGTGGGATTGCTAGATCATATGGTAGCTATTTTTATTTTTTTATGGAATCTCCATACTGTTTTCTATAATGGTTGCACAAAATTACATTCCTATCAACAGTGTAGGAGGGTTACCTTTTCTCCACACCCTTTCCAGCATTTATCATTTGTGGACTTTTGAATGATGGCCATTCTGACTGGTGTGAGATGATACCTCACTGTAGTTTTGATTTGCATTTCTCTGTTAATTGGCAATATTGAGCATCTTTTCATGTGCCTATTGGCCATCTGTATGTCTTCTTTGGAGAAATGTCTATTTAGGTCTGCCCATTTTTTGATTGGGGTTTTTTTTTTTTGTTATTGAGTTGTATGTGCTGTTTATATTTTCTGGAAATTAAGCCCTTGTCAGTTGTGCCCTTTGCAAATATTTTCTCCCAGTCTGTAGGTTGTCTTTTTGTTTTATTTATGGTTTCCTTTGCTATACAAAAAGCTTATCCATTTAATTAGGTCCAATTTTTTAATTTTTGCTTTTATTTCTATTGCCTAGGAAACCTATGAAAACATTGCTAAGATTTACGTCAGAGAATGTTTTGCCTATGTTCCCTTCTGGATTTATGGTGTCCTGTCTTATGTTTAAATCTTCAAGCCATTTTGAGTTTATTTTTGTGTATGGTGTGAGGGAGTGTTCTAGCTTCATTGCTTTACATGGTGCTGTCCAGTTTTCCCAACACCACTTGCCGAAGAGACTGTCTTTTCTCCATTGTATATTCTTGCCTCCTTTGTCAAAGATTAATTGACCATAGGTGTGTGGGTTTATTTCTGGGCTCTCTATTCTGTTTCACTGATCCATATGTCTGTTTTCACATCATTTTGATTACTGCAGCTTTGTAGTTTCATCCGAAGTCTGAGTAAGTTATGCCTCCAGCTTCTTTCTTTTCCTTCAGTATTGCTTTGGCAATTCTGGGTCTTTTGTGATTCCATGTAACTTTTAGGATTGTTCTAGTTCTGTGGAAAATGTCCTAGGTAATTTGATAGGGATTGCATTAAATCTGTAGATTGCCTTGGGCAGTATGGCCATTTTAACAATATTAATTATTCCAATCCAAAAGCATGGGATATCTTTCCATTTCTTTAAATCATCTTTAATATCCTGTAGGTTTGATTTTGATGACTATAAAATTTCTCTGCTTCTGATTTATCTGTAAATGACCCTGAGGCCCCAGAAGTATGGGAAGTCCTTTCTTGAACTCTAGCATGTGATGGAGCTAAAAACAGTTGTAGGCTTATCTTGAAACAGGTTGTGGATTTGTTGCCTGGTGCAAGGCATTTTCAACCCTTGACTTTAATTGTATTTTTCCACGCCTCAATGTTTTGTTATAAAGCTCGACTTGCAGTAACAGGAACCTCCAGGGCTCTGAGGGGGGACTCATGAAGATGGACTTCAGTGAGAAGGGGACTTCAGTGAGATGGGCTTTAGGAAAGTTTTCATCAAACAATGTCAAATGAGTCAAACGTTCATGTTGAATTCCTTTTATTTGTGATGTACAAAGCTGACACCATGCTTGTTGCTCAGGAAACGAAGGTAACAATAGTTCGGATTATACTGATTACGCTTTGTCTGTTTTGGCACAGTTTACATAATATTTAAGGAAACAGAATCACCTGAAAGGAACTGCCTCAGGTCAACAGAGCTAAGTGTTCTGGGAAACTGATAAGTAATGGAAATGGTTAAAATAAATCCCCCGAAACAGAATACAGTATACTTTATAGTTAACTCAGGCTTGCTCTGGGTCTGCTAACTGCTAAAGAGAGGCGTGTGCTAGATTTTTATGAGGTTTTAAACACATAAAAATGTCTTAAAATGATTTAACAGGCTACCTGTGAAAGGGCAATTGGATGGACATTTTAATGGAAAGTCTCTCATAGCCTCAAAATGCAAAGGAAGCAACACTGCACCTTTGATTTGCCACATCTGGATGGCATTTGGAATAAACAGGGGCTTCTGAGAAATTGGGACAAGGGATTTACCTTTTCATTCCTGGAGTCAAAAGCAAAATTCCCACCTCCTTACCCATCCTCCTCTCTATCCCTGGCCCGGGAGAAAGAGCTGCGGATCTCATGTCCCTTTCTGGGTCGGGCCACCTTTGGTGCATCCTCTGCTCTACTCTGAACCAGGCCAAGTTGGCTGCCTCTGGCTGGGGAGGGAGCCGGCAAGGAGAAAGTGATCTGTCTACGGCCATGTGAGGTTCATGAGCCTTCCAGCCTCCCTAAGCAGTATGGGGCCCAGTCATGCTCACTCTCGAAGGAGGCAGAGCTCACCCCAGGCTACTGACTGGCACCTCGTTCCAGCTCGGCTGCCTGCCTAGACACAGGGAGTCTCCGTGAAGAGTGAGAGCTTGCCGTGTGCAGGCTTGAGCCATCCATGAATGTTTAGCCAGAGAAATTTATTTTCACGTGGAAACACTGGCTTCTAGTTTAAGCCAAATGATATGCGGTGACCTCTGGACATCAAGAAATGGCTTATTAGCTATCATAAAGAGCTTTCTGATCAAGGCAGTGAGGAAAGCTAGCATCCTAAGAAAGTGGCGGCCCATTAGGTCTTTCTGAGGTAGCCATGAATAGTCATGCAAATAACCGAACCAAACAGTAGCACCGGGTTGACTGAAATAGATGGGACAGCAGATCTGAGCAGGGTGGGCTCACCCATGGGGTCTGAGGGTCGGGGTGACCAGGGTCCAGCAGTCCAGCCCAAGTGAGACTCCAGTGCACAACTTGACAGACGGGCAGAAGAGCTTAGGCCTGCCTTCTTCAGACCGTTCAGGTTTGTGAGGTGACCCGCTGTGTAGGGGAGGGGAGGGCAAGGGGCAGAGTGGCAGATGCCACCCTACACGCTTTTCATACACACCTGGCAGCGGCTGACCCGGGTGTGGAGCTGCCCGGCTTTTAGCGTCTCAGATACAGGCTCTTCCCCAAACTGCTGCCTCTCCTCCACTGTTGTCAGCCAGAAGCTGTACTTGTTGGCAAAGTAGTGGCAGGTGCCCCGGGCACCACTGCACTCGATGAAAGGTGTGGCCCGGAAATCCTCTAGGCAGGAGCCAGGGGAGACCAGGGACTGGCCGCCACCCTCGGCGCCAGCAGCCGTGTGCTGAAACAGACAAGGGGTGCTGTGAGCTGCACCCCCAGGGCCGCCCCAGCTCTGGTCCCTTGGCTCAGCCCCCTCGTCTAGCCAGCAGACCAAAAGCTGTGTTTTAGGCCAGGGTAGGGGGTGGGGAGAGGAGGAGGAGGGGCGCTCATCCTCCCTTGTCGCAGCCTCAGGGCCGGGAGTGCCCTCTTCAAGTTCCCCAGTGCCCTCCTAACCCACTGCTCAGGGGATGCGGCTGCATCTCAGCCAGCATTTTCCAAACTGCTGTTGTCCCACCAAGTCCCG